CGACATTCGCTAAGATTGTGGAGGTTGTCACCGAGATTTGAGAAGAGTGGTTCGTGATGAGGTGGTATTCGACGACTCTTGCTATGATTGGGAAGTTTGTCACTATGGTTCAAGAAAAAGGTTCGAGATGTAGCAACATTGATCGACGGCGTTCCCTAGATTGTGGAAGGTTGTCAACAACAGCAACAAATCAGTTACCCTCCAGAGACGTGTGCTCGACGGTGCAAGATACGCTTTTCTTAACTCTTTTATCTGTTTTAACTAACGCTAGTTTGCAGGTATCGACATTACAAGAATGATTTAGGATCGCAGAACGTTCTGAATAATTTTCCGTCCCTATCGATGCTTTGACTTTTGTTTTTGAAACTTGCGTTTCTCCAAACTCGGTCAAAGTGGGGATTTCTATAGACACACATTTGTGTCTCCCCAAAACCAAACCCGGTGATGAGTACCCTTCGCGTCGAATCATAATCAAATGAAGTCAAAGTGTGAAAAGTCTAGTGATGAGGATGTTTTTATTAAAATATCTCTTCTTTCTGTTTTTGAAAATACTTCATTTCTTTCTCTCTATTTTTGAAAACCTATTTTTGAGAAAATAGCCAATCCAGATTGATTTGATTCATGGCAAGAGTCCAATAATAGCGTAGTTGGGTCGGGTTCGAAAAGAGCTTTCCAACGATATATTATAAGCCCATTTTCGATGAATAATGAGGAAGTTATGGCTAAATTACTAAACTGGGCCCAGTTTGATCCTTATATGCGGCCCAATGATCTAGAGGACGGCCTAGTGTTGATTTATCATTCCTAATGCAATTAGAATTGATTTTAGTCTTCTAGATTCTTCTAGAAGGTTCTTTTCATTCATGATTTAATTAGCATTGATAAATTGACTTTGGTTGACTTTTTAGAGTTTTGATCAGAATGAAAAAGTGTTTTTAAGGAAAATATGATTTGCCCTTCTGTACGGCTAAATTTTATCAAAATTAAGAAAATGCGTGAAATTAGTTTCTAGCGCTTGACTACAAGATTAGCGTCTGTCGCTAATGCTTGGTGCCTGGCGCTAGCCTTAGCGCCTGACGCTAACGTCCAGCGTTTGGCGCTAATCTGTTTTATTCTCGTTGAAACTCTGATTTGTTTTTCTATCCGTCCGGAAGATTTTCTCTATAAATAGCCTCCTAAAACCTCCGTTTTCAATCATCAAATTCTATCAATAATCATCAATTCTTCTCATCAATTCTTATTATCTCTAATTCTCTCTTTCACCAACTCTCATCAAGATTCTTCTATTTCTTTTCTAAACTAGCCTTTTGCATACAAAATTCCGCATTCACAAGATCTAGAAACACCTAGCCAAGTTCGAAGTTTCCTTCGCCCTAGACGTGAAAGGTTTGATTTCTGAGGGTTTAGTCCCAAATCTAGTCTAAACTTTCTTTCAATTATTTAATTTAATTATATATTCCTTGAAGTTACTAACGTGTGTATTTTGTTATTAGAAAGAGACACGAGGCATCCAAGTAAGTGCTTTAGTTGTTTGCATTGTTATTATGATATAGAAATCATGTCTAGGTTGTTATTTTGATTCCTAGTGTCATGTTAGGTCGTTTTGATCTTCCTAGTATCATGTTTAGGGTAACAACTGTAATTTCTAATATCAAATATGACAATTGTGATTCCTGCGATGTTTCTTATTCTTTTTCTAATGTTAGGGTTAAAGCTTTGATTTTTATTGTTTAGTGATATGATAGGGTTTGTTATTAATTTTGTTAGTATCATGCCTAGGATTTTGCTATTATTATGCTTTAACATGATTATTTTTATAATTGTTATAATTGTTGTGATAATGATTAAAATTATGATTGTTATTTATTATGAATGTTATTATATTGCTTGATGTTATATTTACTGTTATTGCTTGATCACACCTTTTATGCATGTTAAAAGGGAATTTGTACTTGTAATCACACTTAATAAGATAATTAATAATCTTGATTAGGGTTAATTTGATTATAATTTAAGTGATCTCCAATAATAATTTTATTTGTGCATTAATATTCAACCAACATAGATAAACAGGTTTAGGGTTAACTTGCATGTTAGTCAGAAAGCGCACATGAATACGATCAGAATAAAGTACAGGTCTATTATTAGGGCAGGTTCAATCTCTTTTAGGTTGATTTGTTTCTTCATCCCCGAACTACCAGTCATGGTTCTAGACCTATTGGAGTTGACAATCTCCTGGATCGTTAAGGGGTGTAACCTTCACCCTGTGAACGGTTTACAAGTTCCTAAAACTTGTTGGCGACTCTTTTGCTCTAGCTTCTTTCCCTTTGGACGCCACCATGCTTAAGTGTATTATCACAGTGGGGTTCAAGTTTGGGGTAATGCTTGAAATATTCCCTACAGGTATTTAAAATGACAAATCCCGAGGCCTAGACGGGTTTAATGCAGAATTCTTTAAACAGCACTGGGATATTGTAGGACATTCGGTGGTTAAGGGAGTTACTAGTTTTTTTAACAGTGGATTCCTATTAAAATTGTGGAGTCACTAAATCCTTACTATTATTTTAAAGGTGGATAATCCAGAGGAGGTATGACATTTAAGGCCGATAAGTCTCTGCAATTCTATCTATAAATGCATTTCGAAATGTATGGTAAATAGGGTCAATCAAGTCTTACCAAGCTTAATCTCATAATATCAAGATGCTTTTGTGTTGGGGAGACATATGGTGGATAATACGCTTCTAAGTCATGAAATCCTAACTTTTATTAATAAAAGAAAGAAAGTTCAAGACTTAGTTGTGATAAAAAATGGATATGAGCAAGGCTTACGATCGAGTGAGATGGGACTTTTTTGTGATCGTTTTGAGAAAATATGGCTTTCCGGAACACTAGATCTCTTTGTGCTCCTAATGTTTTTCTACGGTCTCGTATAAGGTTCTTATTAATAGGAACACTTCGGAGTCTTTCAAACAAAAGTGTGGGCTTCTACAGGGAGACCTACTATCACTATATTTATCTTTGATTTGTATGGCTATACTTTCGAGAATGCTGAGAATTGGAGAGGATATCATTCTCTTCAAGGGTATTAAAACTACAAGGAATGCTCCAAGAATTAGTCACTTATTTTTTGCAGATGATGCTCTTCTTTTCTTCCAAGCTTCAATGAAGGCATGCCAAGAAGAGGTGTCTACAGTTTAGCGGTTCTGTCGAATTTCAGGGGAGCAACTAAACCTTAATAAGTCTTTTGTCAAGTTTAGTCCAAGCACTTCAGACCAAAATAAGTTGGCATTTAAGAACATCCTAAGAATGAGGGATGTGGAGAACCTTGGTAATCATCTAGGGGTGCCTATTGACGTGAGAGGTAACAAAAGTTCCAATTTTTTATATTTGGTAGACACAATTGCTAAGAGAATTTTCTCATGGAATTCTTGTAAGCTTTCCTTTTCCTCTAAAATTATTATGGCAAATACAGTTTTGATTGTAATGGCTGCTCATGTGATGAATAGCTTCAAGCTTCCAGGTAGTATTGTTTCAAAAATTAAGAGCTTGATTTTTAACTTCTTATAGGGAAATAAGGGAAACAAGGGGATACATTGGGTGAGGAAAAGCATTGTTCAGCTTCCTCGTGGAATGGGGGGTTTAGGGGTGAGAAATGTAGAGGTCATAAATGATACACTACTAATGAAACAATCATGAAGAATGCATAACAACCCCCAATTGCTAGTTGAGAGAGTATTCTCTACAAAGGGCAGTTCGATGCTCAAGATTGGTAAAATACAAAAGGGTAACAATACAATGTTGTCATGGGGGATGAGTGGTATACACAAGAATGAATTAAATTTTATAAAGGGGCACTCATGGAAACCCCCACTTCAAGCACACGTCTGTATCAACTGAATACTAGAGGTGCACAAGTTGGGAATGGTGCAAAAATAGGAGTTTTCAAGGATAAATGGGTTAATGGAAGAATACCAGAGGCTAACTCAGAAGTTACTCTGAGACAAGCAATGATATGGAAGGTTGACATATTTATTATCAAGGTCTCTTGGACTTGGAAAGAAATGGAGCTAAGAAAGGCCTTCAATGCAAAGGATGCTGTGGAAATAGGGGCTATGGAGTTACCAGGGAAGGAGATAGAGGACCTGCTACAAAGGGATCATACGAACTTAGGGAAGTTTACTACAAAATCTAGTTATACTTTTCTTATGAGCTAGCTTGTAGACAATGATAGAGTTACAGATTAAAAGGTAAAATTTTTAAAATTCTTTTGGCAGCAAAAAGTCTGACCCAAATGGAAAATCTTTATCTGGAAAATTTTCTATAATGGTCTACCTGTTAAAAGTAACCTAAATCTTCGTAACATATGTGAAAGCGGAGCTTGTGATATATGTGGAGAAGAAGAAAGTATTAACCCTACTCTAAGGTCCTGTATAGTAGCAAAACGAATGTGACAATGTGGAAGCCTTGGTATTGTTTCAACTATAAGTCCTAGTATTTCAATCAAAGATTGGATACAATAGTATATCCAGCAATTTTATAACTTGGATGGAAAAGGTAGTAATAGTATCACTACCCTCTAGCCATAATGTGGGAAATATGGTTGGCTAGGAATGAGTTCAGCTTTCAAGGTACTAGAACTCATATAAATGGGATACTTGATAGGGTGGAGAAAAGTGTGCAAAATCAAAATGATTAATTATGAGCACAACGATTCTCAACAATTGGAGTTTCTCCATCAACCAGAGGGAGAGGTGAACAGCCCCCAGGTAATAAGATAGCAAGCATAGGAAAAAAGGAAATGGGTACAACACGATTTTTGATACAAGTTGATGGGGGTTGGAACAAGGCAACGAGAAGAAGGGGAGCATGATGGGTATTGGAGTATGATGGAACAGTGAAAAATCTGAAAGGTTCCTCATATGGGGTAGCAAACACCCCTGCAAGCAGAAACTATTGCCTGTTTTGAAGCAATTAAGTGGTGTTGGGAAGCAGGCCTTCAAAGCATAAATATCAAAACAGATGCTAGTAAGTTGGTGGACATCCTACAAGGTAAGGGGTCACAAGAAAAAGTAATTCTTTGGACCATCAATGAAATAGGTAGGATTGGATGGAACTTGGAGTGGTGTTTACACTACACCAAAAAATAGAATAAGAAACACAAGACATAGAACGGGTAACTTAGATAGGCGATCTCTGGGATTTTATACAACGCCTATCTAAGTTAACCACTCTATTTGATTTTTTTTTTTTAAAAAATAGTTACTATACTACATAGAACGCCTTCTTAATTAACCGTTATATTTTATTTTAACATATTTAAAAAAAATAAAAAAAAATAAAAAAGAATAGCAAAACCCTATTCCTTGTCGGCTGGTTTGAACGCCCATCATATTTTCTCAACAGCCGTTCATGGCTTCTTCTCTTCCCTCTCTTTAGAAATTTCCTCTCTCTTTCTTTTTCCCTCTCTCCCTACTCAGATCTAGTTTAAAGCTTTTCCATTGCTCTAACCCTAACTCCAATAAACACTATCTCATCTCCATCACCTTCTCTACTTGCAAAACACCCATATCTTTCTTAGTCAAAACAACCTTAATTTGGAGCTTCATCAATGGCAATACAACAAGCAACTAAGAGAAAACTCGTCGAATTCTCTCTTCCTTGACAATTATGGTTGCCCAATTTTCATCAAGCAAGTTAACTTCTCTATCCTCCCTTTAATTTCATATGAGCATTAATTTATTTATAATTACATTTGATTGTCGAATTCATATGAGCATCAATTATCATTCGAATCTGTGATTGTGAGGGTTGTGATTTTAGGATCGATGGAAATCTATTGTTTATTTTCAACCGTTCATGTCTTATTTGTTGTTCTTCTTTTCCCAAATCTATTTTTATATTTTGGTTTTCATTTTGTTTACAGTTCATCCGATCGATTAATGTGAGATTTTATGAATTAAGTTTATGATTTTTGTGTTTGTGATGATTAGTTTTGAAATGATGTTGAAGATGTACAATTTTGTGTTTAATTTTTTTGTGTTATTGCCGGCAAACGTATAATTGAATATATTATTGTTAAACATGTTTTATTATTATGGTCAATGAATCTTATATAAATATCTACTATTAACTTTTATTGTGTGTTTTATAACTTTTTTAAAATTCAACAGATTAATCGGATATAAAGGAGAAGAAATTCTTAAAGATCATGGATTCATTTTCTAGTTTATGTTCTTTGTTTTTGTATTTGAATTGTATAAAAAGTACTTGAAATGTAACTAATTAAATACAAAAGATAATAAAATTTGTTTTAATTTGGCACTCTGTATTTGACTTTGACAATTTCAATATTTATTGATTGGTGATGTTTATAGTTTAGTAGATATTCACCCTCATTTGTAGTCCAAAATTAAATATTATGATTTTGGTTTTTTTTATTATATAGAAATTTATGTTGTACATACAGGATCAGGAATTTATATTATACCGGAAAATAGAGGAACAATGCAGCAGCAAGGAAATATAACTCAACTGCTATTTGTCGCTCCCAATTTACCAGGTAACGCTCCCTTTTTGACTTGAATGGACCACTATGCCCTTTATGCAATTTGTGTTATAAAAAGGACCTTGTTCCCCATTTGGACACAATACATGAAACGGTCCCCTCACTTCAATTCACGACATTGCTGTCCCGAGTCTCCCAAAATCGGTCCCCACGACCTTGCAACCAAATCGGTCCCGACGACCACCTAAATTTTCTATTTTAAAAAATCGTGAAATTTTCCGACGGGTCTTGAGTCATAGACGTCGAGTGGAACATACGTACGCCGGAGAATGCGTCGGATCATTCTGTAAGTTTTATTTTTATTTTCGGTAATTAGGACATCCGCCTAAAATATCCGGATGTCCTTGGTATCCGCCTAAAATTTCCGGATGTACCATGGAACATCCTGAAATTTCAAGCGGAAGATGGGATCCGCCTAAAAAATCTGGATGTTCCATGGTACATCCGGAAATTTTAGGCGGATGTACCAAGGGACATCCGGAAATTTTAGGCGGATGTCCCTATTCATATTTTTTTTTAAATGTAAAGTACGTTTATATAATTTTTTTTATGTTTATTAAGTTTTTTTTTATGTATTTTTTTTCGTGGTCTTGTGATTATTGTTGTGATTTAGTATTTGATAATTAATGTAATTTTGTTGTATTAATATGATTATTAGTAATATGTTTAATTTTTGTTTCATTATTATTATTATTATTATTATTATTATTTGTATTATTATTATTATTATTATTATTATTATTATTATTATTATCGTAGTTGTTGTTGTTGATATTATTGTTGTTGTTATTGTAGTTGATATTATTATTGGTGTTGTTGCTGTTTTTTTTATTGTTGTTGTTGTTGTTGATATTGTTATTAGTAATTAGTAGAAATATAATTTTAATATTATTATTATTATTATTATTATTTTTATTACTATTATTATTTATTAAATAATTAATGTTATGGTCTTATAAATTGTTTTATAGTTATTATAATTTTTTATTATCATTAATATTGTGATTGTTTTGTATTTGTTATTATTATTAGTATTGTTATTAGTATTGTTATTATTATTATTATTATTATTAGTATTGTTTTTATTATTATTATTTAAGGGAGTTGATTGGGTTTGATAAAGAGCCATCTGTATTTATTTCAGACCGTGATCTTGGGCTATGTGCGGCTTTGAGAGAAGTCTTTCAAGGGACATCACATTTACTCTGTCTATGTCACATTAACAGAGATGTGGAGGCTAAGGTGACGAAGATGTTTGGAAACAAGACGGTTGGTGTCAGGTTTAGAGCTGGGAGATGGTTTAAAATCGTGAATGCAACAACACAGGCGGAGTATGATCGTGCTCTAACTGCCATGCAAGTGAGGTGGGGAAAATATCCGGAAGTGATTCAGTATGTTCAGAGAACATGGCTTTGTCATAAGGAGAAATTTGTGAAATTTTGGACGAACCAGGTTCTTCATTTTGGTAACACCACCAACTGCAGAGTTGAGAGCCAACATTCAGCAGTGAAAACTTGGTTTGAATCATCCACAGGTTAGTTGTATTATTTTATTAGTTGTTCTCGTTGTTACGTAATTGTAATTGTATTAATTGTAATTGTATTTGAATTTACTAATTAGAATCATTGGCAAGTGCTTTGGATACCGTATGGGCCCGAGTCCATTGTCATATCAGTAATCACATCATACAAATTCGTAATGACTTGGAGGCATCAAGGTCTAAAATACAGTGAAAACTTGGTTTGAATCATCCACAGGTTAGTTGTATTATTTTATTAGTTGTTCTCGTTGTTACGTAATTGTAATTGTATTAATTGTAATTGTATTTGAATTTACTAATTAGAATCATTGGCAGGTGCTTTGGATACCGTATGGGCCCGAGTCCATTGTCATATCGGTAATCGCATCATACAAATTCGTAATGACTTGGAGGCATCAAGGTCATTGGTCAGATGTACAGATAGTTGCCACTGTCACGTATAAATGGCAAAGTGTCTCAACATTGCTTGAAAGTTCTTGATAAGGAGACGAAGAGGATGCGTGATTTGAGTTACCAGGTCCATGAACGGTGTGGATGTGCTATGCGTGTGACCCATGGTCTTCCATGTGCTTGCCAGATACATGATTCGATAGTTGCACAGACAGGATTGTATAGCAGCCAAATTCATTCTTTCTGGAAGATACTGGTTATTGGTGATGGTGTTAACATTCCTGAAGTGGTAAATGATTCGACCGAGGAGGCTGCACATTTTCGGTCCCTAATCGACGAAGTCATGGAAAGTGACCCGACCGTACGTCGAAATGTAACGCGAATCATTGAAGAGGAGCTACATCCAGATCATTCACACCGAGGAGGCTGCACATTTTCGGTCCCTAATCGACGAAGTCATGGAAAGTGACCCGACCGTACGTCGAAATGTAACGCGAATCATTGAAGAGGAGCTACATCCAGATCATTCACACCTTGAAGAACCACATATCAACCTTAACACTCGTGGTCGACCGAAGAGAAACACCAGGCGTGATCGTAGCTATTTCGAGCATGTGAACCGTCAACACACTCAACGTGGTGGTGACCCAGAACCAGGTAATACTAAAATTCTATATTTAATAAAAAAATATGTAAACTTAATACTTGTAGCTTTACTAATAATTTATCTTTTAATTTTGTGTTGTAGATCCAAGTGACATTAGTCAATGCAGATATTTGAACTTGCTTCCAGCCACAATGTTGCCGTACATTTCGTCTTGGAAGGATGTCATTGGTGATGGAAACTGTGGCTTTCGTTGTGTCGCCGACTTCTTCTTTGGCAATCAAAATCAGTGGTTTGACGCTCGGGAAACAATAGCGAACGAGATCGCTGGTCATCCTGATTTGTACGAACGAATTTACGGGCTTGGGCGACTTTGGATGAACGTGGAGCGTATTCGATGGGATGGTGGGTCTGTCGGGGAGCGGCATTGAATGGTTACAATTCAAGATTTATTTCCTATTGCTACGTGGTTCAACACAAGGGTGATTTGTCTCGGAGTAGGCCTAGTACCAACTTGTTACTACCCATGCATCACAGTCTTACCGCTTAGGGCACGCAAAGGGGTTCGGTCACCGACTCGAGAGTTTGTGATTGCTACAGTTGGTGGATCACATTTTATCCGTCTTGACCTTGTACCTGATTAACCACTCCCGCCGATCGCCGGGTGTTGGACGTAACACCACGAGGATAGTGTCAATGGATGGGATCAAGCATATCAATTGAGAAGGGACATGTGGGATGCATTAGTTAGGTAGTTTGTGATGTACATTCACTAACTTTGAACATTTGTAGGAAAATTAGAATTATGAAATTAATTTTAAATGTATTTGCTTTTAATCTAACATGATATGCAACAAAACATCAAATATAAAATAAAATAAGTCTCCAGCTTATACATTACATTTAAAAAAAAATTAAAAATAAGTTCATAACATAATTAAAACCACTAACAGAACATCTAATCAAAATAATCTAAAGTCCCATTTTTGACTTCCAATCAAATACAAGCTGCTGAGTCATTGTTCGAGTCTCACTCGACATTTCAGGATACTCAAATAGTGCTCTTTGGTGAATCTCCATGGACCGACCCATCCACTGCAAATCAAACAATAATATATTATAAACACAAAAATTCATAGAAGTCATTGTTAATATAATAATAAGCATAAATACTTACGTAATCAGTGTTAGTCCGCTCATGAAGGTTGCTTGTAACTCCTGCACCTGGAGATACCCGCGGGTGAGAAAACCTGTACATCCACTGCATGTAACCAGGCGCAACCGAAGGAGCTGCAGCACTAAGCCTGGGTAGGGCACCTAAAACAACACTCTGAGATACCCCAGAACAAACCTGTTCCACATCACAGCTGTCATCTCAGTCGGGAAGTCTAGAAGTCTACCTGATACATCTTCAAGTTAGTCGGCCTCTTGGCCTTCTCTGGCCTGATGATCTCGCGGGGAATGCCTTGCACGAAACCAAGCTGGCGCACCACTCTATCAGGCATGTACGGCTCAATGATGTTACAGTACTGGATGCAGCCAATCAATAAAGTGGGGGGCACTCGTAATAAAGAATCAGCTCCGTACGGTAGCCAGTTCACCTCACGGTCATTAAGCGCATCAATCCTAGTATGAAAAGCTAACAGGCGCTCCAGGTTCTTGCTAGGACATCCCGCTCCAACATCCCAAGCAGACGCACGAGGCATTTGAGGTCCCGGGTCAAGGTACCCTCCTGTGGCTGAAAGCACGGAAAGTACTCGTAAATCCACGCTTGCAGAAGCGTGAGACAACCAGCAATCGAATCAGCACCTTTCCGTGATGTCGTGCCCAGTTGCCGATACAAGTAGGCCAGTGCAGCTGTTCCCCAAGCATACTCGTTAATAGGGACATCCGTGTGACATAGCTCGTGGAGGAAGGAAGGATGCGTACGGTTACCACTCTTGTCTACAAACAGTGTACCTCCAAGCACTAACCACAAGTATCCATCAAGCTGCTCACTAAAACCCCGGTCAACCGCTAATGTCGACTCAAAAATCTTATCAGTCAACACCCCACTACCCTGCCAAATGGTCTTTGTGCCGCAAACCTCAGACAGATCATCTGGAGTCATATCCATGGTGACCGAGCACGCGTCCCGTAACACGTCCGTGCTAGGAGTAGTGGTCACCATATTGCCTGCAACTCGTAACCCAAGTATGTTGTACACGTCGTGCAGCAAGATCGTAATCTCCCCAAATGGCATGTGAAAGGTGTTCGTATCTGGCTGCCACCTCTTAACAAAAGCAGAAATCAACGGCCAATCAAGTCTCTTAAACATCAGGCCGGGCAAGTGAGACAACCAACTAGCATCAATCTCCGCAAGGTCCTCCACAGATTGACGACCTCACCAAGTGAACAAGTCAGAACATAACTTTGTCCTACTCAAACAGCGCAAAACACTACGCTCCTGCTCCATCCAGATATACCGTGCCACGTGACCGCCAAAACTAGGGATAACTGACCCATCCTCAGGCCCACCCATGCCTCTGCAGAGCTGGAAGTAGGCTGACTCGATCCACTACCAACAAATCTCCCAATCTGACCCCTATATACCATATGACTAGCCGAACATTCGTCTTCCTCGTCAGATATGGGTGCTCCACTTGCAGAGTACAAGGGCCGACTACTACCAGACTGTTGGTCTCTTGACCAACCACTAGTAGACCCGTATTGCTGCTGCTCGGGCTGAAGCGGTGAAGATCGAGATGTCTGTCTCCTCACATACGCATTCAGACGTCGTGATATTGCATGTCGAGCACCAGAACCCTCGATCTACATAAAATAAAAAAAAATCCGATTTTAGTAATAATAATAACAACAACAATAATAATAATAATAATAATAATAATAATAATAATAATAATAATAATAATAATAATAATAATAATAATAATAATAATTGTTTCGGGGTTTTTGTCCCTCGGGAGAGTTACAACACTGAAACTGAATTCAACTAAGGACGCCTGTACCTGCAAAGCAAACGGACCTCCGGATGGTTGGGGGTCCGCCTCCGAAGATTAAGTCAGCAAACGTTCGGAAATAAAACGTGCGGAAGTAAAGTTATCTGCTTGGATTTCAAGCTCAGGTAAAGTGAGATAAGTGACGTATTGTCTTGTATTGTGTGTCAATAATTCTCTCTCTGTCATAAATGATATAATGTCCCTATTTATAGGGTCCTTTTGAAAAGTGTGCCTTCCTAGGATCTGGTGACCTAGTAATTAGGTCACGCCGTTTTGCGGCGCCTCGGGATTTGGGCCTTAGAAGGCCGCCATCCCGGGGCCAATGCCTGAGTGACACGTGTCACTGTGCCCAAAGGATTTTGAAGCACTTTTTGTGTGACACGTGTCGCCACCTAAATGGGCCCTGCTGGACCTTCAGTCCACGTAAGACGGAGAAGAGTCCACCCTCCACGTGTCATCATGCCATAGGTCCAAATGGCACCTATACGGAGGACACGTGGCACTTTCTGATTGGGCCACCTGGCCGGGTATAAAATACCCAAATCATTTGCCCCTCACAAGGGTCACGTGCATTGCACGTGACTCCTGTGACAGGTGTTAGTATCTGAGTGGTCAGATTCGAAAATTTACTAGAGGGAAAAAATTAGGGTTTTACCCCCCTATAAATAGTAAGGTTTGACCCCCCCTCTTGGATTCACACCTTGGCGAATCTCTGGAGAATCTTGGACTTTTTGACTTAAAGAATCTCAAAATTCCCTAATCGTTTTTCATGCATCCGACACTCGGCTACCAGTTCGACCGTTCTTTAGTCAACCAGGCGTCTTTCTCCCTTCTTCTAAAGGTAACGCCTGTATTTTCTTTTTACTCTTCATTATTTCTTTGTTTTCGAAAAAATGGCTCCCCAATTGCATGCGGCACGGCGTAGGATAGTGATCAGCCGGTCACCGGGGACGGCTGAATCTAGAACTAGCAGTGCCGAATGCTTGGCCAAAGACCGTGCTTTGCGAACTTCTCCGAATCCGACCGTTTCCGTGTCTGTGCAGGACACTATGGCCAGAATCAAAAGAACAGCAAGGCAGTAGCTCCGATGGAGTTTTCTACCATTCGGATTGGTCGACTGTTTTTTCAGACGGCTCAATAAGACTGCCTCGAAGTGAGCTGTCGGAACACCCTGACAGCCCTTCCTATCTTCCTCCTACCCCCACTTTTTACCATTCGCCCACATCTAGTGGAACTCCCAGTGATGGAATCCTGGGGGAGGCGGATGAAGAATATCAACCCGGGCCTTTTGGACAGGCGCCGGAAGAGAGTCTAGGATAGGACCCCGCTGGCACCAGTCGGCGGTCCCCTAGCTCTGATGAGAGCTCTGATGACGAGTCGGCCTCGTCATCTTCTTCAGAGAATGCCTCCGTAACTTCAGAGGAGGCTAGATCAAACATAGATTCTGCCAAAGAGTCCCTGGTAGTGGATAGGGGGGAAAGCTGGGCCGAGCCGAGTGCTTCCAGGCGCTTGGAGAGAGCCCCCTACTATCAGCATGTTCTGCCAGGCAGGCGGAGCGCCATGGCATCCGGCCTTGCCAATTTTAGGCGCAAGGTCGTCCTAGGCTATGGCTACACTTTGTCGGTCCCTAACGAGGGCAACACCATAACTTGGCCGAGCCTGGCCAGCTATCAAGAGAAAGTATTCGGCTGCTATGAAGCGGCCTTCCAGGCTGGCCTCCGCTTCCCTCTCCATCCGGCCGTGGAGAGGATCTTGGACGGATACCAACTGGGTATCTGTCAACTTGTACCCAATTCCTGAATCAATATTCTGGGGTACGTTGCCGCCTGTGAGATGTTGCAGGTGGAGGCGAGCTTTGAAGCGTTCGCCCACATGCACTATCTGAGCAGGGCGCCTGCTAGGGGCGGTGAAGGCTGGTATACTTTGACCACTTGCAAGGGGTACATGATGGCTGTTGGCAAAGAGAACAAGTGGAAAGACTAGAGGACTAAGTTTTACATAGTCAAGTCTGCCGACAGCCGCCTGAACCAAAAGTATAACAGGTGGAATAAGGATTCATCTCTCCTAGCAGGCAGGAGCGCATTGCCGCCTATTCCCAAGCGGGCAAAGGAGGAGATCATGGACGCGGGGTTGTTTACCGTGTCCGTGTGGACGAATGATAAGGGGGACAAGGAGGTCACCCCTCAATGTTATCTCCCTTTGTACAAGTGGTTTGAAGAAGGGACATTCTTAGCCGCCTGTGGGCTAAGTTCTGAGATGCCGAGAGGTAGTCGGCCGTCTGTTTTATATGCAATTTACTTTTGCTTTTCAGTACTTGTTTAATGATGCTAATCACTTGTTCATTTTTGCAGACAAAGCAATGGAAAAACTCTCGGCCACAAGGAAGCCGACTGTATCTGCTGCTCGATACAGGTCAAATGTCCTAAACAGGGCAGAAGTAACCACTCACACCAAAGTGGACGAGCAGAAAACTGGTGGCACCTCCAAGGTAGAAAATTGTTATACTTTCATTTCTGACCAATATTAAATTTGCCCGAATGATTTCTAACTGGCGTTTATCTTGTGTTGATGTAGGGTGCTCCTTCCAAATCTCATTCAAAACCATCCGACCCTAAAATCCAAAAGACAAGGGCGGGTGATGTGAGCGCATCCGGCAAGGGCGGCCGGAAGCACATTGCTCATAGGCCCAAGAAGGGCCCAGACGCCTCTTCTCTTGAAGCTGAAAAGGAGATCAACAAACCGGATGCCCAGAGGGCATCGAAGGGTGGCTTTAAGCAACCCACCACTGTTGTCGGCTCATTAGGAGAGAAGAGGAGCCTGGGGAGAGAGGAAGAACGGAAGGA